ACCTCCAACAGAACCAGGCTCAGGGTGGGCCGCCGTCTGCCTTGACCGGTTGGGTTTGAGAGGAGATAGAGGGGGTGGGGGAGGAGCGAGAGACCATGAACAGTAGTATATACTGTTGATTGTTAATTGTAACAGTGAAAATAATAACAGTTATACCCATAGGTAACGGTGTTATCGCACACCATACATGTTATTAGTAAAAATTATTTAAGGATAGAACAATCAGAACTTATAACACACACACACATGCACGCACGCACACACACACACACACACCCACACACACACACACAAATACTGGTCCTATAACTTACTATATAGCTATTTAACCTTCAATAGTTAGTGACAATGTTATTGTAAAGATATGTAAATTTGAGTGCACTTTCTCTTCGAGTTTGCAGTGAAGATGAGAATGGCAACATTAGAGCGTTGTGTGTGGCTAAATGCACCTCAGCAGAGGCTACCTCTATCTGTCAGACAGAAGGATGATGTACATTGAAAACACATTCCCTTCCTCGTGGCACTCACATCTATCACCAGTTTATGGCCACTCTCCCCACTCTAGCACATCTCTGCTGTTACATCCATCTATGTCAACTTCCTAACTTGCATATCCGGGGGCCTGGGTTGTTTGTCTGTCCTTTAAGTGTTCATAACATATTCTTGACAGGTTTCACCATATGTTTTCTCTGGATCTGCAAACCATTCTGTCTGGCCCTTACAGGGATCCACCAGAGGAAGGTCACAAAATTCTTTTTTTTTTTTTTTTTAAGTCAACTTAATGTCATGTTAAATGATGGGTGAATGTGTGACACTTCTGACAAGTGATTCACGTTATGTGCTACATCAGGTGACTAAAAAGGCTGTTTCCTTACAAGAGCATGCCTCTGATATTTTAATGAAGATTCAGTTGGGAGATTACTCAACCATTCAGCTGCCAGCTCCTCAAGTCAAAACTGTCTGATTTACATAGCAGGGAAAATTGTGGCTCTGTTTACTTTCAGCCGCTAAGGCCTGCTGAAGCTCATGAAATATTTGTGCTTGACTGCATGTATGACAAGTATTCATGTCCGTACAGTCTCCATTTCTGTGTTTGTGAGTATGAATGTGCATGCAACACTGAGGGTGTGCATATACTGCTACAACAACTTCAGCACCAGTTCTTGGGGGGATAAATCTTCTCAGCCTTTCGTGATACAAAGTGTAGTTGCTGTTTCTCTGTGTGTGAGGAGCAGGTAAATAGGAAAGGATCTAAATTATCCTACGGCAGCGCTACAGCACGCTGGAGCGACCCCAACACACGGATGTTGCTGCTGCTTCTGCTGCTTATCACAGTGCTGCAGTGCTAGGGAGGAGCTCAAATAAGCTCACAGCAGTAGCTTGTGGCAACTTCCTCCTGTCTCCAGATACTGTGAGGTTTCGTCACACACTGTGTGTGTTGATATGTTCGTTAATCCTCTTTATTAGTCAATAAAGCCCCATTACATTTACTACTACAAGTCTGCAAACAAGTAACTTTTGTTGGTGTGAAAGGAGTTGGTATGTGAACCAAAGTTGAACAGCTGAGTTGGACATATCAAAACTTCTGTGTTCTGTTCCTGATGGATGGTGGACAGTGTCTGTATTTCATCCGAATGAAATCTGCTCCCTGTTCCCAAAGCATGCAAAAACAGAGCACATGTGTAAGTAGCACTTCCTCATAGCACATAAAGGTATTATGCAGATACATGTGAACATGAATATAAACTCTGCTCTTCTACTCATCTGCTTCCATGTAACCAAAATGAGCTGAAGGGTTTTGAAAACCCAATCATTTCTGATACAACTGACATGCAAGCGATGGTCAGCCACTCACATTTGCTTCACTGACATATAAACTCCTCTTAACCATCAGAGGGCACTAAAAATCCACCTGATGCTCTCAAGGAGTCATCGACTATTAGAATCTGAATATCACTGGAATTAAAGATGAGGTTGTTTTTTTTCAAACAGGAATCATGTAAGAACCTGTAAAAGTTTTCAAATGATATTCCTAATGTAAGAAGAAAATCCCCTTTAATCAATCACTAAATTTTGAATGAACCACAATAATGAGGTAAGTGTGATGCAATCAGGTCCTAATTAGCCTGATTTGCTGTGGTTGAATTTCAACTGTGATTATTACAGTACATGCAACTCTACCAGTCAAGGTCTGACTAGATTGCAATATCTTGACTTTCCTTGCAGAAAATCATCCATAATTGCGGGTGAAGAATAATAAACATATTAGCAAGGCAGAGCTGTAACTGTGTGACTGTTAAATTCGGGGGGAAGCTGAAGTCACTTTTTCCAAATGTTTTGTTGCACTGCAGTGAATCCATTTCAGTAGACAATGACCTCCATCATAAGATAATCATCAGGTAAAACAAAAATAAACTAGACTTTCAGAAGAGTTACCAGTTTCTTTCTCTTTTTTGTGTTGTATTTATTTATTTTATTGTTCTCACGAAAATACTTTATTCTTATGATACTTGCATTTATTTGATCCTATTTTCGGTGATCTATTATAAAGACATATTGGTAAAGTAACCTTCACTACATCCGTACTTCCAATTCCCCCTGCGGATCTGACCACCCACCCTCCACAATGACTAAAGAAGCTACAAACAGGCTTCATTGTGTGTGACCCGGAGTCAGCACACAATAAAGTCCCCCCATTAACAAATGAAGTAATCAAAAATCAGCAGGTACTAAATACGTCGCGTTTGATCATTTCTTTCTGACATTACATCCGAACCAACGCAGGGTTAATCCTACCAGCTGCGTACTGGACGTGGCTTCCTGAGCGGATGAACAGTGACAGATGATGAGTTTAGTGCCCTGAGGATCGCGCACAAGACAGTCAGTGATCTTCTAACAGCCGTTTAACACCGCAGAGTCCCTGCCGCGGCGGCAGACTGGGGAACCGACTCAATCTGGAGTTATTGAGATTATTTGCTTAGAGGGGTTGTATTGATCGAAACTGAACATCCTCCATCACGCACTTTCAGATCAGGGCTCCCGCATCTTCTGACCGGAGACAAAGTCACCAGGATCGTTACGCACAACTTTTACGCACAACCGGGGACACTGCCGATGATCCGCTCTCGGTGCGCGGTTCATGCCACTTTCAACACGGACTACACTACGACTTTGTACACCCACAGGTGTGATTATGTTAAGCGTGCGAACTGCAGAGATGGATGAAACGATCCGCTCCATACTCTGGTGAAACAAGACCAAAACCTCACGGACACTGGGAACTTGCCTGGACACAGCGAGCAACAGCGCCAGGTGCCAAAATGAGCCTTTACTGCCAGAGCTGGAGGATCTTACAGATAGTCTTTGCAACAATTACAGCAGTTCTCTCACAAGGTAAGTGACCTGGGAGTAATTGGTTGCGTGTTTTGATGTTTTCTAAACCAAAATCTAAAATACCCGCGAGGGACGAGTATAAGAGCAGCAAAGTGCAGTGGATTAACCTGAAGCCTGTTGGGATTGTCACTGTTTGAGCATGCATACTGTGTCTGCATTGTGTTTGATGATAGCAGCTGAAAACAAATGAGCTATTATGAATGGACTGTCTATCTATTTGCACATGTTGGTGAGGGCAGGTGGGCCTTTTCTTAGCAGTGCCATGTCAGCACTAAAACAGCCTTCTCTATAAGTCTAAATAATATATAAATGTCCTCATTTGTGCCACAAACTTACATCTTACTCCACAGTGATACAGTGTCTCAGTGAGGCTAACATGAGCATGTGTGTGTCTTACTTGCTGCAAAGGGGGAGTCACAGCGGTGAGTGGGATATCAAACATTTAGGATCAAATCGGTGAAGAGTAAAAGACTTGATGGGTTTATACTACAACTTGAGCCTTGCCTTAATGCCTAGTGCTTTGCCTCTCTATGGGAATATATTACTCTTCCTTATGGATGTCTGCTATAAAAAACCAGGGAACCCCATTTTCAGACACAGCAAGACAAACAAGAAGCAGACAATCTAAATTCACAACTTTGATAATGGAAAAGAAGAAGAGGAAGAAGAAGCAAGCACATCACAAAGGCATTTACTGTAAAGCCTATAACTACCTCATAGATGGCTATTTCCAGGGAATGCAAGCAGGCTGATTTATGTGGATAAAAAGATGAGAAAAATGGAGAAATTGTGATAAAACAGATTTTTAAAGCAGCTTTAAGAGTCTCAGCATAGCAATCCCTACCAATCACTGCACAAGCTTAAGCCTCCTTCAATCTCTCTCTCTTTCTCTTTCTCTCTCTCTCTCTCTCTCTCTCTCTCTTTCTCTCTCTCTCCTCTCCCTCTCTCTCCTTATCTTCTCCACCCTCTCACTACCCAGCCCCACAGAGCATTACATGCTATATGATCAGCACTACATCATCTCTGTATGTTTGTATAAAACACTTCCTCAAACATGTAAGACGAGCATGTAAAGCTGTCAAGTGCATTTTGACCAGGAGATTTTACTGATAAGAAGTGACAGTGGTTCTAACTTTCATCCAGGAAACAGCATGTAGCCAGGCCTGTTTTTGCAGCTCTGCACATGATCCACTGTCATGGCATGTACAACAACAAATCAGCAAGGGCATCTTGATCACGGAACATAAATACACCACCAGAGAAAAGTTTTGAACACTCTATATCTGATCATTTTCAGTTAAATTAAATGTATTGCACTCATTGTAACAACCATAAACCATAAGTCCAGAATTGGTTTAAATGAACTCAGATCTTTGTGACTCCCATTTAATTGGAAGCACAATACTCCAATTAGGCGCCTGCAACAGACACCACATTGGAGCGCTGCTTACACCTCCAACAAACATGTCGTCCAGAGCTTTCTACCAATTTCTAGATGCCCCTTTGGTAATTAACCACAATGCTGAAAGATACTTAAAAAAAACAAAATCCTGAGCATACTAGCAGCTTCTCTTTCCTCTGCTGTAAACCGCTGTTTCCCTCCCAAGATGACTGCTAAGTGTCTGAGTGTCCCACCGACGACATCAATCGCTCTACAAATCTCTGTGTCTAAGGACCTATTCGCTGGCAAGCTGTCAGATCCTGATGAGCGTCTGTGGTGCTATAATAAAGGTAGATGCATGGAAAAGGTCAGCCAGTCAAAAGGTAGAAACACACAGTGCTAATATCAGATTAAGTTCTTATGTTTGCTACAGGTGCATGATGATAATGTGTTATTAGCATCTTGCCTACTGCCAACACTTTCTTATCTGAAAGTATTTACTACCAGCGTATTGCTACAGTATATGTGGGAGCAATATTGGATCAAAAAACCTTTAAAAGACGACGTGAAAGAGAAACTTTGAGACACAAAGACGTCTTTTAATCCGCCAATTACTGATTAAAATGCAGACATCCATTGTTGTCGTCTGTGATGCTATTGGGAGTCGACTCACTTCTGCAAGCTGTTTTGCACATATGGTAAAAGTCATTACTGCGAATTAGAATTCACGATGGCTGCTCAAGCTTTGTGCATTTTAATAGAATAATACAAAGATGGATTACAATTGGAGAAATAATGCTGAAAGACAAGCCCACTGAAAAGACGTTTGCTGTCATGCCAATGAAAAGAATTTAATATGGAGCCTTAAGACAAACTGCAGGACAAAGTGTTGCTCATTAGACACAGCAGTGTTTTTATTAAAACTGGTGATGGGGAACATTATTTTGAAATGAATCTGTGAGACTTAAGCCCTAAGTAAAGTTTTTAGTTACTTACACAGGACAAATCTCAGTATTTTTCAATCATAAGTAATATGAATAGTTTCCATTTCCATCTTAGTAAAATGCTCATTGCATTGTACTTGTTTCACACAAATGGCTCAACTAAAAATAAAACACAACGAAGGGAGATTGTTCACATGAAAAACTCTGTTTCAAAAAGTCACAATCCCTGCCTGAAGTTAATTTTCTGCCATCAGTCAAAGGTTGGATCATTTTAGACCATGTGTAAAAAAAAACAACACAACTCTGAAATCTAATTTCATACAAGAAGCATTTTCAAATGGAAACGGGGAGAGGTGGACAAAGATTTGATTAACAACATATGATTTCAACCCTCGCTTAAAAGGAATTAGTTTTTCTTGTTTTTTTCTTCCTAGAGAGCACTTAACCCACATACTGTAGAGAGAGGATGAAATAAAGCAACAGTGCAAGACAGTGAACATGTTCAGTCTGTGGGAGAGCAGTCTTGGAGAGGTGGCTTTTAACGTCTGCACGGCAACACTGATGCTTTCTGACTCAGCCAAGGAGGAGGAGAAGCTCAGGCTCTTCAAAATGAGCGATTTGAGAGGCTGGAACAGCTGGTGCAGCGGATTTTCTCTCATGTTTATCAGTTGAGGGCAGGACTCTCATCATGATGAGAGGACCATACAAGTGAAGTTTTGCTTACATTGGCTACTTGTTAAAATATCTAAATATTGGCAAAGGAGATGGATGCTTCTCTTAAACCGCAATGAATCCTAAAAGAACGGTTACTGCAAAGTCCGTCTGGCACCGTACTCACAAATACCGTAGATTGTGTGCTACGTATGCTTCGTTTAATTGGCCTCCTTTGGGTTTTACAAAATGAAAAGCACGTGAAACAACAAGAGGATCGCAGATGACCCATCAAAACCCCAACTGTAGAGGGATGGGCGTGCATGTGAAGTACTTTGTTTCTACATTGGCGCTGCACTCTCCCTGCTGGAGACAGTGAGCCAGTTTATATTCACTCCAGCCGGAGCTGCTGCCAGCTCTGGTATTAAACAGCACATCTGTCACTGTGGCCCCCGGTATGCTAAGCCAGGACAGCCCCGTTCCCGGCCCCAGTCTCTGCCTGATGCAGTGTGTCGCCCACTCAGCGAACATCACTGACATTCTTGTCTCCTTGTGTGTGTGTGTGTGTGTGTGTGTGTGTGTGTGAGTGTGTGTGTGCGTGTGTGGGGTTGTTATATAGGGTTGCTAGGTCGACATGATTGTGACACTTACAGTATATTAATGGCTGTGTGACCTGTCAGACCTTCATGACAGACTCTTAGCATGGGCTGAGTGAGGAAGGAAAGCAGAAGAGACCATGATCGACAGACCCGTCAAACGCCAGCAGCCATGAGGGACATGACGAGTGATTCTGACAGAGAGAAGCTTCAAGCTTTCCTCATTGAATAATTAACGACAACTCTATGTTGCCCCTCACACAGGTCTATAGATCTAGATCTGATCTCTTCTGTTGATTTTGGTATACTAGTGGGATGATGATTTGTTTAGCTCTTAGATACTACTAAATCTGTTTTTCACTATGCAGTACCTTGCTTAGTGGAGCTTCATCCATTTTGTTATAATCTCCAGAGTAAACACAAGTGTTTTTTGTCCTTAATTCACCAAGTAGGGCAATTAGCCACCACATAAACAGTGCACAATAAAGGTCAGCTGCTATAATCTTCATAATTCTATCAAAATGGATGTTTAATGAGGACACACGATGGCCGGGTGACCTCTGCCTCTACTCTTTTCCATTGGGGCAAACACTTACCATCAAGCTTTTAAACCAGATCAGGGAATATTTATGTGCTTTTGGTTTGTTTTCACTCACTCATGTAAAAAGGTCATTCAATGCACAGTATTTAACAGCCATCTTGTAATCCTGGAAAACATTGTGCAAGTAACACAAAGTGACCAATGGACAATACACTCACTCAATAATATACAGTTTCCCCCCCCCCCAATGCATTCCTGTTTTCATTTCTGTCAGCTTGATTATTTTTAGCTTTTACTTCACATGATGAGGCACTATTCTCATTTTTTTTCATGGCGGATCTGCTGGGTATTCACAGCCTGCTGACAATCTGAAAAGCCATTTTAATCCCACTTTCTGATGGCTGATTTCAAACTTGTGCCAGATGTATCAGATGCCACCTTTCCTACCCAAATAGAGAAAACAGATCATCCATGGGAGAGGTGAAACTGGGCCAGTGGAGGGGAAACAGGGAATTACATTTTGAATCACTTGAAACTCAGAGTACATTTTAGAAATAGTAAACGGGTTTCAAAAATTAAATTCTATAGGAAATAAAGTAGTAATTTTTAGTAATGTTATCTTTCTTTGACACAATTACTTATCTGTATATTATTTAGGGACTGTACAAAAATAATTAGAGGCAGAGAAAGGGTCAGAAAGTGTGCACGTTATTTTAATCTTTCTTTTGACTGAAGGTAAGGTTGTCTGACATGGCGAACATGCTCCTTTGCAAAAAGTTAATAGTTAATAGTTTGGTAAATAGTTAATAGTTAAATCAAAAAGACAGCTTTAACCTGCATATTCATAAAGGTGCTTTTTAACATAAGCAGAGGAAAACAATTGAGCCTCTTCATCACAGTTTTATTAATGTGGCGCACAATAGAAATTCTATTGAGCTTTATTAAGAATTAAACTGGGCTACACGATTAAACAAGTTTTACTATTTGAACACTTTTATATTATTTTGACATGTTGTGAGGAGGGTGTTCACAAAGTGAAACATAAAGTCTGGCCGCGCTCACAACACCAGCCATTTTAGTACAGTCCCTTAACAAAGCCACAGAGTTCAGCTGCTGCTCCATGCCTCAGAAACTAAAACACTCTTAAGCTTCCCGCGTTGTAATTTACATTATTTCACCTGTGTGCTCTGTTTCAGGAATTTTAAGGTTAAGCTCACAGGCCTCTCAGTGTAATACTTTCATGCCCCACTCAGTTGATCATTTGGCCTCAGCTGACATTTGCACTCAAGTGTTAGTTCTTGGAACACTGCTGGGGTTTTTCACTGTATGTTATTGTCAGGTGTACAGGAAAACAGACGTCTCTATATTTGTTGTTGTTTCAAGTAGAGTTCTAGCTGCTTAGAAATGTGGTACTATGATACTAGGATACTGTATATTCCTGTGGCTTTCAACTAGTCTGGTGACATTTTTTATGTTTACCTTACAGATTTGAGCAGTAAAGAGCTGAGTGACAGCAGGAGCCCAGTGCCTTTCCCTGTCTTCTTGCCAGTCAACTACGATGTGCGAGATGCTGACTACCTCTTCCTAAAGGAGGCTGGCCAGGACTTTATGAGGAACTCCAGCATGCAGAGTCACACGCAGCCCTTTGTTATCTTAAGAGCCAGCCGCCAGCCAGCTGTCAACGCCAGCTACGGCACCATGTCCACAGAGCAGCTTGTGCCTCTAGATCTGGTCCAGTCTGTGCAGCTCTTCAACGCGCCGGAGGTCTTCAATTTTAACTGGAAAATCCAGGCCTTTGTGCTGACAACTCGGGTTTTCTCCTCCAAGCCCAAAGTGCGGGTGCTCTTCTATGTTGCAGGGAGGGATTGGGGCAGGGGGGAAGGAGCTGTGGATGAGCTACCATGTGTGACAGTGTATGCTTTCTGGCAGACCCAGGAGGTGAGGGGTTCCTGTGCCATGGGAGGCGAGAGGGGAACCTGCATAGCTGAGCTGGTTCCTGCGCCTGGCTGGTTTGCCCCAGGGTCAGAGGGCACCAGCAGGGAGAGGCAGGACCCGTCCGCTGGGAACCCTGTGGAGCTGTACTACCAGGCTCAGCCTAAAGTCAATGGGAAGTGTAACTCTGTGGATGGAAGTCGTTGGAGTGGCTCACAGCAGCAGGCTGAGTATGTTCCTCTCACTCCCATGCAGAGGATTGGCAGTGTGCGTCTTCTGCAGGTGCCTAAAGGAATGGCGACACTTTCTCGACTCAAGCTTGGCAATGCCATTGTCATACGGACATCCTCCAAACCGCTGAAGAAGACTGATATCGCCACGTTCTACGTGCTCATGGCCAGCTCTGCTCAGCTGACCAACTTCACTCTCAGGTAAGACTGTGTGTTCTGCTGGCTCAGTTTCCATTTGTCAGAGTGGCTGTATTGCAAACATATGAACTGCTGCCATCACTTCAGTGGACTCTGTAATGTCAATGAAGCACAACTTAATTGGTCAATAAGAATTCAACACAGGGAATTCTTCACTAATAGTATTAGTCCTCATCTCTAATTCTTGCACAAATCCTGTGCCATCATAAAAATAAGCGAATATTGGAGAAAATGAGATTCTGGATGGATTATGGCATTTCTCTGAAAATATCATGGAGGTTAACTATCTTTCCGAGAAGTGGGATAGATTATTTGAGTTAAATCAGAAAAATACATGTTTGAGTGAGCACAGCCTGATGACATTAAGGGCTGTTTCACGAGCAGTAGTCATCAAGGTTGACATGGATCAAATAAAATCACGTGTAGCTTGTGACTCATTGTTGCTCTGTTGTAAAGGGTATGCTCAGGATCTGTGTTCATACTGCTGAATGCATGAAGTATCCCGGGGATTACCAGCGTGGCTCAATTCAATTTAAAGCTCTGTTCTCATTTTGTAACGCAGGATATTCCTGTTTGACTGATGAGAGCATTTTTATTGCCATGTCACAGCAATAATTGTTTCTCTGGAGGTCTCTGTGACATCTTTGGTAATAGAGACTAATTATATACTGATATCTTTAAAGAAATGCACTTATACTTTGCCCATGAATTAATCCCTCAAACACCTGTCTTATCACTCTCTGAGGAGGAGAGGAGAAATACAAATGCACAAAAGAAAGAAAAACAAGTCTGTTCTCATGGCTTTCTCTCAAGACGTCAGTTTGTTGCTCTGCTTTTCCAAGGTGAAGTGATGCAACATGGGAGATTGGCACCTCAAAACTTCACTTGAATTAAATGCCTCCAACTTGCTCTCATCATTTCATTGATGGTTTTCATGGTCATCCGCAACCTTTTTTTTTTTTTTTTTTTTTTTATCATCATACAGACGGAGATCAAAGAGAGACGTTGCTGGATTTGTCTGTGTTAGCTGTCAGAGCAGAAGAGTAAAGATTTACGCAATCTTGATTAGACACCGATTTTTAAAAAAAATTATTTTTATTATTATTCCAGACACTATCTGCTTTACTCCAAGCCAGTGAATAATGGACTGCCAGGAGGAGGCAAATACATCTTTCTGACAGTTATTAATTCAGTTTGTTTGTAGGTTTGTAGATCATGAGTAAAGCACAAGTCGGCCGGTCAGTTTCACATGCGGTTTGGTTGCTGTTTGCAGCGTTTATGGTCGACGTCCAGAGAGGTGTCCTGACTTAGGAACAATGAGAAGAAGAAGAAGAAAGTCCTCGAGGGCAGCTAATCCAAAAGTGTGTTGGATTGAGAAACACTGTGGAACACGATCGATACTTCCTGAAAGATAAATAATTTCTGACTTACTTCCTCCTTGACTTGCTTCAGTGGAGGTGAGGAGGTGAGGAGACAGTCATGGATTATTAATTCTTTTTTCACCTGGTCCTGCATTCATTCACTTAGACAGTCACTTACTCAGATCAATTGTGAATGCTGGAATAGCTAAATATTGATCGAGTGGACAGCTGTGCATGGATGCACTTTTCCTCCTTGTCAGGCTTCAGAGTTGTGTCTGAAGTAGTTTGTCAAAATGTCCCTTTAGGTGTTAAGTTCTTTTCTGGTGTTGTAAAAGGAAACAAATAAACACAGAGCTGGAGGTGTTTCATCCAGCATTTTATCAGAGGATCATTAAATTGCATTATAGATCAAAACCTGTGCATTCATGTGGTGTAAAGGGTTAGATCAGGTATTTGAATTAATTTGCTGGTTTCATTTTGTTTCTGTCCCTTGATTCTACCTGAAGCAATGAAGCCAAAAAAGAAATCCTGATCCCCCCTCTTCATTCTGTCACTTTTAATCAATGCTGCTTTAATTCATCTACTCAGTCACACATGTTTCTGAAGAGAGAGCAGATAATGGTAATGCCCCCTGTCCTGTCTTTCTCTTTCTCTTTTCTTTCCTTTCCTTTCCTTTCCTTTCCTTTCCTTTCCTTTCCTTTCCTTTCCTTTCCTTTCCTTTCCTCACTGTCACTGTCTCTTGGTTGGAAAATTGACAATCTTGTAAGGAGGCTTTTTACTAATTAACGTCATGCAATGGTGACTAAACTCTGAAATTTTTTTTGCATCCCATAAACATGACATAATACACTCACTGTTCTCTCACTCACACACTCAGTAACACAGCACTACCCTCCCTCAGCTTATTAGCACATTAACAAGCCCTGTGCATCCAGTCCTCAACAGCTGTCTGTGTGCTCTATCACTGTCTGAATGTCCCATTACGCTTTGCTTAATGCTCTCTCATCAGCATGATAAACCTGAGTCGAGGGACATTCAAATTTGAGGTCGACTGAAAAAAAGAAAAAACAATCCACACCTGTCCGTTCCAGCAAAATGAAGCTGTCATTCTCAGTGACAGCTTCATAAAGGTCATAGATAGTATTGTATTACCATCATCACTCTACCCACATGAAGGGCAATTAGATTATTCCTTTAGAGTACACCCAGCAAATATGATCAGACTATTTTTTTTCTCTTTGTTTTCAGCTTAACAACAAGTTGAACGCCAGTTATGAAGCACAATAGTTTGTCTTGTTCTATTGGTTTTATTTAGAAGGCAGCACTGTGGCGATAAATAAACTTGAGGCTCTGTATCAACAGAGTCAGAGCTCTTCAAACAGGGAGCCTAATCATTCATCTGCGTGACAAATAGGAATTTTACATGCATCTTTAGTGCTGTGGTGGCTGCCATTTGGCGAGAGGGTTGCATGAGCGTCTCCCCAACTCCCTGAACTGCTCCATAAGTACGATGAGCACGTTGCTGATGGCGGGCCATCAGACTGGCGAAATGGTGGACATTTGACTGCATAATTAACGATTGCATCTGTTCCCGATCGCGCTGGGGTTCACCGGTGGCACCGTCATGGCCCCTCAGCGCTGCATTCACAAAGCCAAAGATGGGAACACAAATCATATCAGGGAAGTAAATTACAAACCCTCGGTAGCATCTTGATAGCAGCCGTAGTGCTGAAATGAACCTGGGCCTCGCTGTCTGGCTCACACAGGATACAATCTTTCTTGTAGGTCTTTGATCAGTCTGTGTTTTATTGTTTTATGTATTCACGTTTTTGAATCGTCTCATCGCTTTACTTTCCTTTGTTGGCCAGGACTCTGTGATCTTTCAAATAGGTTTAAAGAAAACAGCATTCCACAAATAAATAAGAGAAGGGAATTGACTGATGAATGCCAAGAGCCAAGGTCTGCTTTGAATGGATTTAACAGTGTATGTGTATCTATTTGTGTGCCCACTTGTCTGTGTGCATTCTTACATGCATGCATGTGTGTGTGAGTGAATGAAGAGTATGTAAAAGGTGGAACAATACTGCCACTCATGCCTTGCCTGGTCAGAAGTGAGATGGATGGCAGGTGCAGCACCTGAGAGCTGCTTTTCTCACACACTGTCAGTTCCAGTCTCCATAGCCATCCATCTTCTCTGCCCTGGTGCCTCCCCCTGCCCGCCGCCTCCTCAGGGCCTGCTAACCAAAGCCATGGACACTAGTTCCTGTTCCAAACCACTCAGAAGAGAAACGCCTCTTCTTGTCACGGGGGATATTTTTTTTTTTTTTTTTTTACACAAGCCGGGCAGAGAGAGAGAAAAAAGGGCTTTAGATAAGTCCTCTTGTTACTGTCACTTTTTATTAGTTAAACCCTTCTCCACTCAGCTCAATACACAGAGGCGTTTCATCACAGCAGGGCATGTTATTCAGAAGCCATTACTAGATTAACAGTCCTCCTAGGTTTTCTCATTAATACATCGAGCATGCCATCCCGCTTACCTCATTGATTATGCCGGATTAAAGTTTCCCCCACTTAAAGCAAATGATCACACTGCACTTACAATTCTCTACAGTCAGCATCACTGCTGCAATTAAACACAAATAGGCAATGTAATGTTGGTTGTACTGAAGTAATTGGTTTAGGCAGCACAGCATTGAAAACAAGAAGACATTGCGTGTGAACAGTGGTTTATACTTCATTTTTTATTATGCACTTAAAGGAATAGTTTGACATTTTGGGAAATACCCTTATTTATTTTCTTGGCGAGAGTTTGATGAGAATATTGACACCGCGCTCATGTCCGTACGCTGAATATGAAGCTACGACAAGCGGCTGGTTAGCAGAGCTTTGCATAAAGACTGGAAACGGGAAGAAACGGGAAGAAACGGGAAGAAACAGGAAGCCTGGCTCTGGCCAAATGTAACAAAATCCACCCACCAACACCTCTAATGATCACTCATGAATACTTTATACCACACTTGGAGACTACATGACAGATATGCAAATGTAATATAAGTAAACATAGTGACTTTCCATATAGGAAATACAGTATATGTACTTATGGCCAGTACTGTATGTACAAATTATATCAAACCTATTAGAAAGGGGATTTCATTTATTGACATAAATGTCTACTCCATACAAATATGTATGTATGTATGCTTAAATCAGAGACAGATAGACATATTTTATGAACATATGTTTAAAATTAATAATGAAAAGATATGTAGGCATATTAAATTTTTATATATAGTGTATATGTTTTAATGAACTTTCATATATAAATTAATATAATTATCATCAACATATGCTCAAAACATATAATAACATAAAAAATCAACATGTGGATATTTTTAATATATGTACAATTTTTACTATGGGTATTTAATAAATGTTATAAACTTATATCTTCATGTATCCAGAGGATCTCCTTATAGGTAACATGTATGGCAACATCACACTCTATATAGGGGCATATATCTCATATATTGCATTCATTTTTTTACATTTCATAATTAAAACAGGCGTTATTTGTAGTGGTAGAAATAATTATTATGTGCCATGTGGCATTGCATTGCCATTAATAAGGGAATCAGAGTGCAACTACTTTTCTTCTTGTTCTCACCTCACCTTTAATCCTAATTAGAAAGCTGTGGCCTGTTTACATCAAAAGTGCATGCATTCCTCTTTGCTCATTTAGTGCAGACTGAGTGTTCGTCTCCCTGTGCTGTTGGCTCTTCTGCCTTCTGGGAACCCTGTGGCTGATAAGACTGGGCTGGCTACCCCGTGCTGTTCCCTTACATCATTCACTCTAATGCACGGAGAAGCTACTTTAATTTACAATACAAACACAGAGACCATGCAACACCTACACTATTTGGCTCCTTTTTTCTGCTTTATTTGATGAGAACCGCTCAGAGCCAGAGCTGAATTAATAAGTCCGAGTCCAGTGTGTCTGCTGATACACGAGAGTGAGAGGTTAGAGGCTTCAACACAACTACCTGTATGGTAAATAATATGGCTATTGAAGTGTCCACTGACTCAGCTGTGTGCAGTTTTTATTTCCAAGGCAGCCGCAGCACCAGATGTTTTCACCTCTTAGCACTTGCTCCCTGGCTGAACCTGTGTTAATCAGATAAAGCAGCCTCTGTGGTGTGCAGCTGGAAGGGTAACCGGCAGTCTCCCAGGCCAAGGTGGCACAAGATTTAAACCACTATTGAAAAAGACACCACTCAGTCATTTCTGTTTAATTGTGACCTTTAACCCACAGGTTCCTTTGTCTGTTTGAACTTTTCGCAGTGTGACAAGATGAGCCAAATCCATTAATTCTGTGAACCAGACAGTGAAAAAAGATCTCTATCTTTCACTCCTGTGGCTAAGGCAGCGGGTCGTGTCACACAGAGCGGCGTTTTACTGCAAAAACCTCCGTGCCAAGATCTGTCGCCACTTGAGACCTCCCTCACAGATTACATGTTGGATGTGCAGATGTTGTCAGAGACAAGGGTTCACAAATGTCCACAAATCACCACCAAACCATTAAGATGGTATTCTAAATCTTTCATCTGAGACAAGTGCATGTTGGTTGATTGCTTTGTTTCATTGTGTTGAACAGGGAACAGTGTCTCTTCTCCTTTTGCCTGATTCTTTAAATCCAAGCCCCAACCCAGAGCAGAAGTGTTCAGCATCAGATTGCTGTTGCTGCTATTATAGATTACACCTCCTCAGAGACTAATAATGTACTTTGATTTTATCTCAAAGATTCAGAGATAAAACACAGCTTTGCATGCAGATGAAAAGCAGAGATTTACCCGACAATGTTGTTCTGAACTATTTGAGACAAGATGTCTGTGCTGTTTCTGGGTATTCAGAGAGTCTCATTAGAGCTTTGAGGATATAAAAGAAGTCATTGACCATATGGATTATGAGTATTGTTGCAGCAGAAGAGTGGATTTTCGGGGGGGGGGGGGGTTTCTCTATGCGTGCATCTTGCTTTACTTGATCGCAATTCTTGTATGAGAATATCTCATTAACATTTGACCTACTGCAAGCTGCTTATGCTGGCAAAGCCCATTGGGAATGTCTACACGTTCAGATGCAGAATGCTTACCATTTACAAATTAGATGCCAAGGAAACTAATGATCTATTACAGTTTAAATAATGAGCGCACATAAGGAGGAACAGAGAGAACAATGTTTTTTTTGGCTTTCAAAAGGGTTGAGGGTGGTTAGAGAGGTGGAGTATGGGTAGAAGCAAATCAGTGATTGTTGGCATTTTCTGTTTTTATTTGATTTATGGTTTGTCTGAGTTTTATATTTATTTTTATCATGCATCATACATGAGAATCAGACAGAGAAAGTCTTTTTTTTTCTTTTTGGAAATCCTGGATTTGTGATAATAACCTGAATATATGAAGTCTGAATGAATAAATCAAGCATGTTCTGTCTGAGGAACCTGGATTTCCTAACAATGCTGACAACCTATATGTCACAAGTAAATCAGAAAAAAGCATGAAAAAAATAAAGATCAGAAAAGTTTAAGTATTTGTTCACATTATATACTTCATCTTTGGATAAATAGTGATTCAATGCCTTAAATTCCATTGGTTGTTAATATAAGACATTGTGCATTCACCACATTCTCGACCTTTTCCTTTTTGACTTTTTCACAGAGCGACAGTTAAGAAGGGTGTGACCTTTCGAACAGCGACACCCAGTAACTCTCTACTGTGGGACATCACTCTGGATATGGGTGCAGATGGAGCCATCGCTGTTATTTGTCAGAGGAAGGCTCCCATACCTGGAAAAAGGCAAGCGTGTCTAATATGTGTTCTACCTTTGTGCGTCTGTTTTTCTTCTCGCTGAGCCATTGATCAAATATTTATAGGTTTAAATTGCTGTTGTTTGAACGGACAAATAATACTCAGAGGGTCCAAAGGGAGTTTTTCATCTGCTGTTGTTGTCTCTAGCTGTTAAAAGTGCTACTATTGTAATGTAGCCGACATCCTGCACAGCATATCAATATCTGTTTCTGCACCTGTGGAGTAAAAGACAAAGCATCTGGACTGTGCAAGTCTGACAACGGCTTACTGCAGAAGCATACTGTGCTGTGTCCTGGGAGGACAAGTCTTATACTCTCTGAGCACAGGTTGGCTGCAGCTGCTCCTGGAGAGCCGCCCCTTGTAACGGCTATTACTTTTTTCCCTTTTAATGATCAGTTCTCCTCTGTGCTTTAATCATTCCTAAGCATTTACCAGCTGTGCATGTCCATAGTGCATGTGATGCATTAAAACATATTTTAACCTGTGATTTAAAAGCTGCAGGCCAGGAGGGTAGTTAGAGCAAAACTTTAGTGGAGCCATTTTCAAACAACGCATAGACTCTTTATAAAACATTTGCAGGTTTTACAAACTCAGCTCTATTTGGGTTTCTAAGAAGCACTTAACTTCCACCATAACCTTATTAAACGGGACTACACCCTTTCCCCAACAAGAAGCTTATCTCAGATGTCCTCTCAAGTTCAGCTGAGCTGTATTTCACTGGACTGAGATCATTCAGTTCATTTAACAGTTAGGTCATCTACGCTTGGCCCCTGCTTCCTCAGATTAAAGTAAACTTTTATAAAGGGCAAAATTGGCAAAACAGGGTAAAAACTGAGTGACATGTGTCCTTTTTGATTCTTCTTTGTCTTGCATGGTTGCTTCTTACCTTGCTGCCACAAAAGCAGGTTTAAGTTAGACCTCTGTTTCAGTTTGTTTGTATTTGCCTGTTAGCCTGGCTAAATGAAAAATGTAACAAGTCTAACTTACAGTCATGTGGCATTGTGAGTCACTACTTAGGCATGCAGAACTTTGAGCTAAATGCTAACACCAGCAAGACAACATGCACATATTGACAATGGTGTAGATGCTGATGTTCAGCAGGCTTAACATTTACCATGTTGACCATTTTGGCTTTGCTTGTTAGCGTGCTAATGATGGATTGTTGCAAGCAAGGGTCAAGCCTCTTCTAACAAAATAAGGATAATAGGAAACAGCATGCTAACATTTGCTAATTAACACTTAACAAGGCTGGTCAAGTCATCAAGTATTTGGTTAGAAACAAAAGTAGGAGATGTAATTGTCTGTACCGAATTTCATGCAATCCATCCATTAGCTGTGGAGACATTTTACTATCAACCACAAAGCCTATAAATGTCACTAAAAGAATCAGAATCACCAAAGTCCATATTTCAGTTTGGATGTGAGTTGTGCACCGACAGACGGACAGCGCCATAACAACAGTTTGCTAGATGAGCTACAGTAATTGGTGTAGCTGAGCAAAACAACGTCATCCAAACATCTTGAATGCAACATCAGCAGAATACATTGATGATGTTAATGTGAACTTCATTTGAACGCTTTTTTTAATGATTTTTTCTTTTTCTTTTTCTTTTTTTTTTTTGCCGTTTAAGCTTCAGTGGTCTTAAAAAACGGATCCATTGAGGTTTAACTCAAACAGTAAGATTATTTCTGCCTCTAGAGTAGCTCCAAGAAATGCTTGTAAAACTAAAGCTCTAATCTGTGTGTGAATGGTTGGCATAGCTGGAGAAGAGCAAGAGTATGGAGCCAACTATCCCAGGATGAAAAAAAAAACTAATAAAAGTAGACAAACAATAACATTTGCTGGACTTTGCTTTAATATAATATGTACTCAATTCAGTGCAGGGATAAATTTAAACTTCCTGAAGCTGGGTTTGTCTAACACAGACTCAAGAGGTCACACAACAATAGACACGGCCTACTTTAACCAGAAACAGAACGCTGACCTTATCTGTGCTCGTCATTATTGGTTTGACCTCATTAAGTTGTTTTCCCCATTTGCTGTGGATTATGACATTGTTTATCACAACGTCTTTATGGGTTAACATATTTTTTCGCTCAGTCATTTTGGCTAATCCTCTCTAAAATGTCATGAAACTAATAGAACCCCTGCAGAGAGAGTCTACTGTCACACCACTGTGAGGATTTCTCTGACTTTTTGTCTTCCTGGCTTTTAGTAAGCACTAAAAGTATTTGCTGTATCTGTACATTAAAGCTATTTTTTATCCTCTGTTGCAGCAGCTTGGTTTGGATCTTAAGATTAAAGCACTGCTAGTCATAGTCACACTGCTGGCCATAAACAAGTTGTTGAAGCATCACTCCCCTGAACGCTTCACAAGAATGACCAATGGCGTAAATAGCACGGCAGCATCCCCTATCTTATGGATATCTGTGTTAATGCATACTTAAGGGGGATATAGGCATGCTTATGTGAGTCTAGCCTATCTTGTTTTGGTATTTGAACAGAATGCCATCATTATCTTTTAATCTCAGGTCTCTGAGCAATATGCTAAGATTATTCAATTACACTAAATCTCTGTCTTGCCTTTAATAAGGGCAGATATGAGAGGGGGATATATGGAGGGACTTTTGTATGCTTTGTTGTAGAGTTTGGAATTTAATGGAGGATTAACAAAATATGATTTGCAATTTCTCCAGTTGTTGTTGCTTTAATGCACAAAGGCAGCTGCTATGTAACCCTTTAGAGGTCATTTTAAAGCAGTAAACAGGACTCACTGTGTGTCTGCACAGCTCTGACACAGATATTTATAACATGTACACAGAGATGCAGAGGGTGTGATAATGTCAATACTGGCATGTGGATGTTTACTGTGTTTTTCTCCAATATATCTTTTGTATAGTTCAATACAGTGCCAAGAAATAAAACCAAGGAAACTAGCTTGGGCCATTGGAGAAAATTGAAACCATGGCTAGGACACTCTGTTCTAGCTGGCATCACTGAGAGGCCATTATAAGTTACAAAGGCTTATACTTTTTTTTGTGCATGCAGGATGCTGCTGTCCTCAAACCACCTTTTATTCTGTTTACACTTAGCAGTACCAGCATCTCCAGCATACGGCCAACACGGAAAAATTCAGCTCTGTTCTTTTTTAGGTTAGTGGAAATGCCCAGAGATACAAAGCCCTCGACAAAATAACAAAAAAAAACAAGGGATTGGGTCTTTTCGCAACTACTGGGCTCACCTCCCTCTCCTAAAAATCTCCACACTGTCTACCCAAGGGGCCAATTTCATAACATCGCGCTATGAATTTTGAGCTGGATCGCTCCAAGAATCCAGTGTCAGTCTTTATCAGGTTACTTCCTATTTTTCATTCAACAGCCCCAACAGTTTCCTTAATAAAGTCTGATGGTAGACATTAAAATAATGACTGACTCCACATGGATGAGGATTATCAAATATTGGCATTGGTCATAGAGGGTGATAATGTCTCCATCCAGTCATCTTTTGTTTCCCATATAATTAGATACATTTTGTGTGCAGCAAAGACATGAGAAGCCCAAGCTATAGTACTTGGGTTTCCATGCTAATGGCTGCATGAAGCTGGTGGGTGCACCACTTTGGTCCAGACTGAAGTATCTCTCTCCAACTGCTGGATGGATTATCATAAAAATTGACACACATACATTCATGCACCCCCCACTTGATAATCATCTGACTCTTCTAGTGCCATCACCAGGTCAAAATTTCCATTTTGTCCCAGACTTAAGTTTATTTCCAGTAGCCTACGTCCTATAATGACATTCCCATCAGCCTCAGCTGTACATGTGTTTTACATTGATTAGCAGACGTTCATGCTAATACGCAACACTAAGATAATGATGTTTAGACTTGCTAAACATCAGCATGTTAGCATGGCATGTTAGCATACTGATGTTAGTATTTAGCTCAAAGCATCACTATGCCAATGTACAGCCTTAAAGAGCTGCTAGCATGGCTGCAGAGTATTAAGTCTTATGGTATTTATAAAATGAAATGTTTGACATCCTAATGCAAAGCGTGTCTTCCTCTGAATCTTAAAAAAATAAATAAATACAATTTAAAAAAAAAAAAAACAGCTCTCCAGGATCCATGGACATTAATATGCCCTGTACTGACAGCACTGAGCCACAGACTGAAGATAAAATCACTGCACCTCTATTCAGACATAATTATCTCTACAGGAACTTAATGTGAGGGAAGAGAATTCAAGACTCTAATGGTGAAGTAATCATATTAAGTATCAATGGCTGTGATGGAAAGATTTTGTCTTGGTGCTGCTAATGCACAAAGTAAAGTTGGTGAAAGACTTAGACAACACCCCAAATAGTCAAAACACTAAGATGTGTAGTACTGCTTGCACAAAATTATAGATGATGACATAATTTGACACTGGAATTCTGCAGTAATTTAACTGTCTGTCTTGTCTTATTGTTTTGCTTTGCTTTGTCTTATCTTGTACATATTTGTATTTGTATGTATGTACAGTATGTATGCATCTGTCTAATTGGCCCCACTCTCTGTTCCTCAATCAGGCTTGAAAGCAGTCTGCTGGAAGTGCTTCAGATGGATTTTGAGGTTGAGGAGCTGAGCAGTCCCCTCGATAGTCAGGTGATCATATGGAAGCTGGAGCTGCCGACAGCATCCAGAAATGTGGCCAAGACTGAAGGAGCCATGAGGATCTATACCACACAGAGAGACTTTGTTGGCCTGGCTCCTCTTGTAATGGTGAGTTAGCTGACAGCTTCCAATGTCACACCTAATCATTATTAAAACCAGCACTGATGTTACTGACAGCAGCGTTTCGAATAATGCCGACACTTGGACCGAATCTTTTGAGAGTCGGTGCATGAAAACATCATAAAGTGCACTTTGCTGTGATCCATTCCTGTCTGGTTTGCATACGCAGAAGGCTGGATATGCTTTGGATTGTTTAGTAAATGGGTTCTATTTTGAGCAGATTGTGACCTTGTGTTGTTGACTGTCAGCGAGCTGATGTCTCTCCTCTGTGTTGTTCTGCTCTGTTCTGGCGTGCAATGTGTGGTCATCCTCTCCTCCTAACAGCTGCTTCATGTGTTTCTATTTTGGTGCCGCAGGCCTCTTTATCATGCTACCTCTATAATTAATCAATGATATAATCGCCACAACTAAATATGGAACATTACACAAGCGTTTACAACACTATGATTCATCTGTCACCTGGGGTCAATGACTTCTTAGTACACGACTGTTGGTGGGAATGACACATGACAATGACAGCCCATCTCATGATACACTCTTTCATTTCTTAGCATTTGCTCAACCACACATTATTGATGATTATGTATTATGCAAGTATAAATTAGGAATTATTGTACTTAATGTTATATTTTTGGGCAGTAGGTTACTCCCATTTCACAGTGCTGTCTGCTGCATTTCCATCATAATGGTGCTGGAGCGCTTGAAGTTATGAGGATATGCTACAGTATCCTGATTTGTGAATTTGACATGGTTCATCTCTCTTGTGGATTACAAGCTGACCTCAGGCTGAGGGCCAAACATGAGGAGATTTGATGGTTGGCTCGAGAGGACATTAGCGCTGACTGATCACTCTAAGCGTTGCTCCATCAACTCCTGCAAGGGCTGCTGCTCAATACTTCTATATCACGATGAAAGCTTCACTGACACAACCTTCAGATCAGTGTTTTTTAAGTATATTGCAATGACAGTTGAAAAAAAAAATGATGTTCACTTATTTTAGCTTCATTTAAACCAGTTTTACAGTCGAGGGACACGTATCCATCTGCTTCATTTTCATACTCGTAGAGTGCCCAAGTGTCTCTTTAAATTTGATTTAACTGATCATTCGGAGAACTTGACCGGGCTCCGCTCCACTGCTCACATACTAATCTACACACACGTACACACACCATATTCAATTATTTCAACTTCATTTACAGCAGTGTGTTTTTACAGCAGAGGACACATATCCATCTGCTTCATTTACATGCTTTGATTAACCATGCATGCATACAAATGCTTGTCTGTGCAAACACACACACACACACACACACACACACACACACACACACACACAATGAGACAGAGATACGTGGTCCATTGTAAATGTATTGCATTTATGTATTTATCCAACTATAGTTGCCGCTCATTCACTCACTCATGTCTTCCTTCAGTGTTGAGCTGCCAAGTAAACAACTAACTCTATCTGGCCTACTTGCTTTACCTGCCACAGTTGCCATACTTATTAAAACACTGAGCATTAGCTAACAGGCTGTACTGTATATGTGTAGAAATTAACCTTAGTCCATTTCCATGTCTCTGGTTATTTTTCACCATCTTTGAGCTGATATAATTTCCCTCTGAGGGACATGCCTGTGCAGATAAATCCAAGATTATCCCTCCCCTTCCATGTGGTGACCTGGTCATCACACAGCCTTAACCCCGCCCCCCCCCCAACCCACCCCACCCCCACTGCCGCTGGCTTCCCCCCTTTGGGAGGCAGCATTGCTGAGTCACTGAGTCACACTTCATTGCTCCTGCCTCTCCTACCTTCCTTCTCTACTTGCACCTCTTGTTACTTCTACACCAAAAAACCTTTAGCTGTCCAGCAGTTCCACGACATAAAATGTAAAAATAAACAACATGAATTGTTTTAAGAGATTTGTTATTTTTATGTTACGACTGTCTGCAGGACACAGAGATCCTGAACACAGCCGTACTGACTGGAAAGAAGGTGGTGATGCCTCTGAGGATAGTAGCTGTGGAGGAAGATGGAGTAGTCACCGATGTATCTGACTACACAGACTGTAGCTCCACTGATGAAGATGTTCTCAAGGTAAGATGTCCTCCTCCTCCTCCTCCTCCTCCTCCTCCTCGGTTTCACACATTCCTTTTGTTTTACTGTAGCGTAAACAACTTCCTAAGTGAATTTCATAAAAAGAAGTGAAATTGCTCTAAAATATTTTCTGCACCTTTTTATTCAACTTTAAATCACTTTCCCTGTAGAAGTGTTATGTGAAAAAAAAAATACCACAATCACCACAGATAAATGGTTACCTGTGAACAAAAAGGGGTTGAGTAGCAATAAACAGAAAAAGGTGACATGTATGTTTTGACTGCAGGTCCTGATGCTAAGTAGAGTGAGGGCAATTTGGAGTGGATGTTGTGCTCCATAGGGGCAAGGTGGGTCTCACGTGTGATGCTTAGGACCGACGCGTACAAATAAGTTGTACCAAAGTCACCTCTGCTCCCTGTCTCTTTTCCACACAGTAAAACAAACTATTAGTTGGGCTCTGACAACATCGCCCATCAATCTCCCAGACAATGAACAGCCACTGTGCTAAATCGCTCACCACAAATGGCCTCACAGTCTGCCACTGTGCTCCCATCCTGTGACTTGCCCCTTTTATCCTGTGAACCTGCGCACGGCTGACTGCCAAAAGCCGGCTTTGTTTACTGATGAAATTGAAAGTCAGGCCCCTGGCCCCTGAGGTCAGAGGCTGTGAATGTATTTACTCAAGGGTAAAGTAGCATTGTAAACAAAGAATAAAGACATGCAGTGGACTCCAGTGCTCTAATATGTTTTGTTTTGGGTTTTTTGGCTGGTAAAATGCTGGTCCCAAAGCAGGTTTAGCAAACAACAGATGTCCTGGCTAATAAATGTATTATTTTGTTCGGTATTTTGTTCATTTTATGTTGCTCCCTAGGGAGATCCACAGGACAGTATATACAGTAAGTGCAGATGGGTGTCAGTTATAAGAGAAGCAGGATTACGTGCGGATGTCAAGAGGCCGGATGTGGACTAAAACATTCTTTTCAACCCTGTAATGTAGCTATCTTTGCTGTTGTTCTAAGCTTACTGTAGCTCCCAGTGTATTTGCTGACCAGATAGCAGCTTCAGTCACAAATATTCCCTTTAATCTTCTTAGTCTAACAGCTTGACTCAGAGATCTTTTCTCTTCTGGTGTGCCTGAAGAGTATCAAATCTGCTAGTGATAGATGGGGAAGGATTTATCCAGAATGAACAGCTCATGTGACAAAACAAAAGCAAAACAAAGTCTAATCTGCCGTGATGGAAAGTTTTTTTTATCCACATGTGCATGAATGACGCAGAGACTTAAAATGTGCACAGGCACTTTCTGTGTCAGTTCAGGACTGAAGGATTGACACGTGAACATTTTAAGGCATAGCAATTTGACTGACTGAATTATATTGAGCCTGAACTCAGTGTAACACTTGAACTTAATTACTCCTTTGCAATAGATATGTTAATTTTGCACACTCATTAAAACTTATTTAACTTGTTTATTTGCACAATGAAACCACAGCCACAGTTGTGTCAGTGAAGCATGCATTTAAGCATTTTTTTATTTATTTCTGCCTGTCTTTAATACTGTAACCTGTGATGAAAGTCAAATCCCATTTTAAATAAATATCTTTTTTTGACACTAAAAACACTGAGGGATATTCTTGGCTGCAGAATGAGATTGTGAGTAGGATGAGTGGGTGGATGGCACATTAAAAATGGCATTCCCTTTCAACTGCTGCTTCACAATATTATTTGAACATGGCTCATGTTAAGTTCAGTGGAGCTCTTGGAAGATGCTTCTCTAAAAAAGAAGAAATGAGCAAAGTGTCTTAGATCATGGTTGACTGGTTGACTGCCTCCACACTTAATTAAAACATGAGGACTCCAGACGACTTCACAGAAACTAAATCAGCCCTTCTCTGTCTTTTGTTCTATGCTTGCATTAGAAATGTTTCCATAACAACAACTCTTCCAAGGGCTTCAGTGCCACATATTGTAAATCTGCCGTCTGCATATAAATCAAGCATAGGATTATTCACAGAAGAAGAGGTCAGGGCATCTCAGTTAGCAGCAAGGATGACACATAGAGATGGCTTAAGCTCTGGTCATGGGTGCAGGATGACTGATGCTCAGATGCAATGATGACACAAGATCCTCTCAAAAATAGCATGTCCCTGGGACAGTGCATCCTCTGGCTTACTGCTGGGTTCACGCAAATGAGAGAGGGGTATCTATTTGCTATTTGTATTCCTCCTTAGGCTATCTGTCAAAGTCACCATCCCCCCCCCCCCCCCCCCCCCCCCGGTTCCTCTCCCCTGTGCACTTCCACAGGCTGGTGACTGAATTTCAATGCTGTCTTAATTATCCAATTTGTTTAAAGCAGTGACTGTTGAGAGGACCCATGAAAACCTCCTGGCTTGTGTCTCTAAACATCCATGAGATCTTTCAGCAGTCGCCTAAACTTGCCAAGGTCACCTTTGAAATTACGGTGTAATGAATTCACTTGGCTGTGAAGGACTGATGTTCAGCACCGCACCACATGATATTTTGATTAACATAAAATTGCAATGCTGCCTCTTCCTAAAGCTTTGGACCGGTGATCATCGCAGTAGTTTATTACAGCCAGCTGACATTACTATGGTAACACATGCAGTGCAAAACTGCCGCGAGGCCATTTGTTGTTGTAAGAATGGCCTATTTGTTAAAATAGAGACTTTTATGAGAATATCTGATTCTTCTTTGTCATTGGTTAGATGACTAACATCTCCTTCATTGACAACAATCTCATCCTGAGGTTGATATAGATTGTTTACACAAGCGCATACTCACACAAACTTTCATAGTATCTGGGAAATTAAAATATATTTATGATAGATATTAGATATTTATGTTCCCTTTATCTCTTCCTATCCAGGTGTCAGACAGGTGCGACTATGTTTTTGTGAACGGCAAAGAGACAAAGGGCAAAGTGAAGATGATGGTGAACTTCACCTACAGCTACCTGAGTGCTCAGCTGGAACTGAACGTGTGGATGCCCCAACTCCCCCTCCTCATTGAGGTATCGGACACAGAGCTGAGCCAGATCAAAAGCTGGAGGGTCCCAATACTAACCTCAAAAAGGTGGGAAAAACAATCAAACAAACAAACAAACAAACAAACCATTTGTTCAACATAAAATCTTTCCTCATTTGGTTTCTACATTTGATATCTAGAAGTGTCTTTCAGCCCATACAAATCATATCACTCTGAGGGTTTAAGGTTTTGATTCCATTACATAATGTACTGTAATATCTCAATGTGATCCAATCAAGCAAAGAGACAGGACTGAGTGATTGGAGTATAGCAGGTCAAAGCATTTGCCGTGTGACAGGTGTGACCTGCACGTGTGTTTTTGTGCTCATGTCCCAGACCCGGCTGGAACAGTGAAGAGGATGACAGGAAGGGGAAGGGCTGCATGCTGCAGTTTCAGCATGCCCTGGTGCGGGTGCTAACTCACTTCGTGGCAGAGCAGGCGGACCCTCGCGATCCTAAGGCCTATTTCCTGGGCTCTGATTGGCAGGTGGATGTCACAAGGCTGGTTCGATACTTCATGAAGGTGGAAGACCCTCGAGTGGCAAGGCTGCAGGCAGGAAGAGTGCTGTCTGGACGGGACCTTGGGACCACCACCATCCAGGTGATTAGCTGATCTACTGTTTGGATTAACCATGGGCCCAGAAGAGTGTGACTAAAGACCCTGGACTGGATGGGGCAGTTTCATCTTTGAGTAGACAAAAGTTGGATTTAGGTTTTACAAGTACACAAGTTTTACTTTGAACCTGATGAACTGAAGCTGTCCTGACAAGGAGATACAGTCTGAGGCACCCTAATTAATTCACTGTATCTAATATTGTTCTGTCACAGGTGTTTTCTCCACTGTCTGATGCAATCTTGGCTAAGACAACTATCAAAGTTGTGGATGACAAAGTGACCATCACAGAGTTAGGCGTCCAGCTGGTTGCAGGCCTCTCCATGACTTTACAGCTGAGTCCAGGGAGCAACAGAGCCATCTTGGCTACCACAACCACACAAGAGGTTCTACAGAGCCCCAAACAGGTAACAGTCTTCAGAGATTTAATTCTCGAAAAGATAAACTTAAGATTCAAAGCACACTTACAATTTCTGCTGTTTTCTGCTGTTTCAGGAAGCTTTGGTCAGTGCCTGGGTGCAGTTCAGTGATGGCAGCCAGACGCCCCTTGATATCTATGATCCTGCTTACTATAGAGTGACGGTGACATCTCTAGATCAGGGGGTGGTGTCGGTGCAGGGCACGCCTCCAGCTGTGGTGGCAGAGGGAGAGGGCGAGGGAGTTCTGGTCAGAGTCGAGATGTCTATATGTGAGGCCTGCCAGAAGTCCAAACGAAAAAGCACTGTAGCTGTGGGCAACGGCAGCCTCAAGATCAAGTTTCAGGTGAGTAGCCGACGGCCAGACGGCAATACCAGCAGCCTCAACAGTAGCACTGTTAGCAGCAAGGACAACGGCAGTGACTATGGGAACGACGGGGAAGAGGTGGACAGTGAGAGGAAGCAGAGGAAGCAATCTCCACCACGCGACTCAACCTCAGAGAGAGAGGAGAGCGCCATGCAGAAGATCACAACCACCATCAAATCTACAGAGCGAACCTTCATAACCAGCGGCAGCCTTGGAGGAGTGGGCAAGACCAGCAATTCAGGAAACCCCAGCAGTCCTACCACTGTCGTAAACGTCAGCATGATGAGCAGCCCAAGTGGCAGCAGCAGGGCATACGGCTCAGACAACATGATAGTGGAGGATATGAGCAGTGTTAGCTTTACTAGCACTGTGAAAGCCCCTGGGAACCTGGTAAACTACAACAACTTCCCCACCAAGGTGGAGGAACCTGGGCAGGACACAGCAGAGATAGAAATCGGTGGAGAAGAGATGATGGCCAACAGGCCTCTCACAGACTTGGAGATCGGCATGTACGCTCTCTTGGGAGTCTTTTGCCTCGCCATCCTGGTGTTTCTCGTAAACTGTATCTCATATGTTGTGAAGTTCAGGCACAAGAAGCCTCCATCTCACGGCCAGGAGCCCACAGGGCACAGGCATGACTGGGTATGGCTTGGCACAGATGCTGAGCTGGTGATGAGCGTGCCGGGCAGCCCTGTCCAGCAAGACTCCCAGACTACAACCACCGTGATAGACATTGGGCCTGATAAGAGCGCCTCTCTGTCCAGGAGGCCCAGTTGTTTGGCGTCTGTGACAGACTCTCCCCTCAGCTGCGTGGGCTCCCTCAGGAGCAAACCTATGCACACTGAGTCCCTCCACTCACCCACCAGCAAGAGAAAGAGAGTGCAGTTCACCACCTTCTCCACACTGGAACGCCAGCATTCACCACATCTCCCGCCCAGGGAGAATGGCCATGGCATCCACTGGGTTGGGAAGGAGGACAGTTGTGAGGAGGAACCCCAAGTGCCCATCACAGAACCTGGGGACCACTTATAATACAGAACCTGATCAGACCTCACATGTACAGTAGATGTGGCTTTGATCACCTCAATGCCTTTGTTAACTCCAACAACTGTCGAGAACATGTGATTTTGGACTCGCCCTCCTCTACATTTCATTACCTATCAAGGCCTTTTACATGTACATGTACTGTATATTATTGTTAATACTGGAGAATGGATGTGCGTGGTAATGTTTCAGATGGCTAATGAGATGATGGACTCTTATTTACACAATGTTTAAAGCCACCAAATGTTAATGCTGCATGTGGATATCTACTTCTCTAAATTTTTGCACTCACATATACAATACAGACACACACCGAAATGGTTCCCCAAATTACAAAAACAATATATTGATTACCAGTTATAATATAGAGCTGACGGATATGGATTTCACCAAAAAATGTGGTTTTGATTAAACATAATATTAGCTGAAATTGGTGTTTTCTATTATGGAATATCAACAACCTTTTTCTTTGTAAATTTAAGTTTTTTTTCATTAAAACACTATGACCTTGAATGTTGCTTTCCACTTGTTTTGTTTTTTGTTTTTTTATGTTAGGCACCTTCCAGTTTTTTTAAGAGGCTTATGACCTCTAACAGTCAGCTACTCATTTTCGTCCATATTTTGTGTAATGCATAATTTTACAGTTGCATACAGTTGCAAAAGCGTGGCATAGTGCAAAACTTCTCAGAGAACATTTATGTTTTTCGAACCAGCTGATGCCCCACTGTGCTGCCAAAACCAACCTCTGAGACGGCAAATTACAAGAACCTTTTGTGCCCCTTTGCCCTTTCAAACAAATTGAGTTTTTGCTGGGCTCTTGAATGTGTGCAACTCAACCGTTGCACTTTATTATAAAAAAAAAAAAAACAACTGCTGCATGCATGCAGACTGGAAGGAACAGCAGTACTGGAACGGTTTTTTAACAAGAGCAGATTATTTGAGAGAAAATCATGATTTAATGGCACTTCCAGAATCTTGTATTACAAACAGCTATTTTTGTTGCGGTAGACTGGATGACAATTTCCCAACCATCACATATTCTCAGATCATCAACCAGTGGAGTCGTTTCTCTCTTTTATTATGTGGCATTAATAAACATAAAACTCATGCCTTTCTTAATTTTTACAGTAGATCATAAATAACAGTACATCGTCAATTTCAAATACAGTACATAAAATAACCTTTTCTGCAATATATCTTTGGTTCAAAGTGACTGAAGCATAATTTTAATCTTAAAGTGTAGATAAAACAGCATTTTTTAAATATAGACATCTTTGTAGGCTGATTTCTTAAAAAATTGTGATAAAGACACCTGTGATAATTACACCTATGCTCACTAATACACCAGTGTACTTCCCTGTTCTCTGTCGCTGAAGTTCCTGAGAAAGTATAGAGAGAGGAGTTGAATGTTGTGACCTTATGCTCAGTGAAGAGTGTCCACCAGCCGCTGGTAGGTTTCTCTCTCCTGTTTCAGACTGTGATGCTGTTCCACGTAGCGTTTCCCATTCCTCACCACTCTCTCTCTCAGCTCATGATCTGACAACAGCCTCTGAGATTGATGCACAAATTCCTGGCAGGAACAAATGCAAAACAAGTGTCATTTACTGCCAAATGCCACTTGAAGCTTGTCATTGAAGCTGCCTGAAGATATGTTTTTTTTTAAATCATAAAAGATAATCCAAGGCACGAGAATAGAACTCAGATAAAAGCATATGCGCTGATTAGTAAATGTATGTACATTGCCAAAATGTGATATTTGAAGCACCAGATCCAAATACGCCTGTCCAATAGACCTTTTCAGGCTATCCTAATAGCTGCCCCCTCTCATTCACTTATGAAGAAAGGGAAAAACAAATAAAGTGACTGCTACAGTAAAAACAATTCTACACAACCAGCTAGCTGACACAGGCACATGGGGAGTTGAAGATGAGGATAAAAATTAGACAATTAAAAATGACTAATGGTGCCACCGCTGAGCATTGACTGAGATGTGGTTCATCCACACAGCATCCAGAATCCTCTTTGCTCATCTGTTGGCCCATCAGCCCTTAGAGAAGACTCCAACAAAATGAAGCTAAAGTGCCTTAAAGTGTTCCTGCGACATGGCAGCCAACATTCACTGCAGCAGAGAGCCAATGGGCACACAAAGTTTTAGCCACTGCCAGTCAGCAGGCCACTTCACTTTACTTCACTTTCACTCAAGTGATGTGATTATGTCTGGAGAGGCTCTTGGTAGGAAACAGCTCTTCTGTATGGCCATATGAGAGCTATAAATCCCCAGCAACAGGATTAAAGCTCAACTTATGAGCAGCATGCTTATAATCACTTCACTCTTAGTGAAAATTATAGAGCCAGAAAGGGGAGGGCATTTTTCTCTTTAAAGCTTTCAAGTGATTGTGTATTTGTTTCTTCACATTTCATGATACCTACACTCCTCATGTAATTACTTTGAAGGCTTAAAGAACTAGAAAAACTGTCAATCAGAAATAAGACAGGATTTTAAAGAAAAAAAAAAATTAGTCTTGAGCATGATCCACTGCAAAGAAAGTTTTGGCTGAAAGACTTGCACTTGCTGCCCATTAGTCCTGGCTGAGGTCGTGGTTTATCCAGCCCAAGTCGCTGCAACCATCTGTGAGAGCTTCCTCCTGGCAGCTCAGCTGAGCTCACGTGACCCCCCCTGGAGAGGACTTATCTCCGCCGTTACAGCAACATCACGCTAGAGCTCGATGTCTTGACAGCACCATGCTCAAGCCTTCTGTCAGCTGGCCTTAACCTATGTTCTTCTCCTTTTGCATCAAACCTCATTAAATATCAGACTGAAGAGTTCTCATGGGGGCTCCTCATTTTGCACTTTCCTGCTTGCTGCTGTGTGTTGCATCACTATGTGGTAATGTGGTACCTTTGCTCTATCCCAGAAGGCTTCACTTTCTGATTCTAATCTAAGCACCTGCAAAAACATCAGCTCCTTTTGTTATATTTTACCTCCTTAGACTGGACTAATGAGAAGAATTTAAAGCACAAAGTTTTACAAAATGATTTAAAGTTGGAGTTTTCTTTCTTAAAATTGTGAAGTTTTTAAAACTAAATCTATGCTGGGAAGGGGACACACATCTGAAGACATCCTGCGGCAGTGCTTCCATGCTGTTCATTAACAGTAGGTACATTTCTGTGGTCAGTTGAGGTGACAGAAGTAGGGGTTGTCTATGGCATATGTGCAGTACATCAACACAGTCAGTGTTGAAGCTTAACAGGGCTTAACGCATGTGGTGACCTGGTCAGTGATTGCCACTGTATACCTGAGGAGAAGAGTACAGCAGGCCAGTGAACTCATGCTGCACCACGGCTGCGTTTCCCGGAATGTCCCTGGCCAACACAGGTACCCCGAGATCCATGGCCTGTCGCAGCAGAGAGCATTAAACACTCACCAGTCACAAAGTGAGATTCACAAAGTTAGATTCACAAAGTCAGAAGAAAGTTACTCGCTCATTCTGTCATTATTATGACAAAAACTGCACTTAAGCACCTTGGAAAGTGTACAGCTGGGCTATTCTGCTCTTCACTGCCTGAGTTCACTTACAGAATTAACAATCTGTATCGGCTAATACCTTCAGCAGGTTGAAGAGTGAAACATGCTAACATACTAATCAGACTTTAAGCCTACTGTGGATTGTCTTAATCGACTGTGTTTAAAAGAGATTAAGTGGATTTGCAGGTTTTGCTCACTCAGGAATGGGAAGATTGGAGTCAAGCAATTAATTTGGGTAATTGTCCCTGAAGTAGTCAGATAACATTGTAGCTGAGCAAGAAATAGTGAGATAAGGACTCCTGTAAATATTCACATTTCAAGGGCTTTGGATGGCAGTGTTTCTGTATATAATTACTTATTACCTAAATATTATTCTGCGGCACAATGCATGAGCAACAAAAAGATATGGCGTATTTAGCAGATGAATTGTTGCCAGGACATGGTATCCTCCAATTACCCATGAGCGCTGAAGATATTTACCTCTAAGATGGCTGCTGACATGCCCTCAGAGACAGAGCTGTTGACCACAGCGAAGCACCTTTTCATGGCAGCATGAAGCTCCTGTTGGCTCCTCTCCTGGGCCAAGAAGACCCCTGCTGTTCTGCAGAAGCAGTGGCAAAGCTCAGTTCTGTGTGACTCAGGGCTCACAGAGGCGTGAATGATGCTGAACAGCAGTGACAAGCTCGGGGCAGGAAACACGGCTGCCCTATGTGTGACATGCACGGGGCGTCCAGGTAAAGTCCTAACCAGACAGGGCAGCTTCCTGCCACAAAGATCTGTGTTGTGGAGAAGGCCCTTGGCAAAACACTGAAAGATCAGCCAAGACTCGAGGGTGGGAAGACAGAAAAAAAAAAAAAAAAAGAGAGGATGTTGGCGCTCCTCTCATATCTGCATTCTGTTCACATTATGTTAAGATAAAAGTACGCTGTATTTGCTTGGATATGTTCTTGTGCCACATGGGAGAAATAGAAGGAAAAGCAGTCTTCAAATTTTTCTCAGGAGCAAGATCTTGGCAATTACACTGACAGATCTCAAGTTTGCTTTTATGAAATGTGTAACTGATAAAGAAAACTAAACAAAACAAAACAGAAGGCTTACCTTTTAACAACAGCCTCGAACTCCTCAGTAAACACAGGATCAATCTGAAAGCGACAAAGATTACAAAGACACTTTCTCTGAGCTCTGTTTTCATCAAGGAGAGCTGCAATGACTTAATGAGACGGATAAAATAAACAATGACGCAATTAATAATTTCTATCATGGGAAAATCATTCTCTGAAAATCCTGTATTTTCAGAGATTGGGGTCAGGGTGGGGTGGGTGGCCAATCTGATTAATTGCAATGTGGGATTTGCCTGCATTAGCCTGCCCACAGAAAAGTCAAAGCATAGCAATTTAGGTCAAAGATGCTGCCAAGCAAGCTCCTACTTTTTTTTTTTTCCTCTTTCATTTTATAGCTCATGGAATTTCTACATTGAATCTGCTTTAAAGCATGTGTGCATTAAAATCAAAGAATCTAAACTAAGAACACTTTGCTATCCTGGTGTAATCTGGGATTTAGCAGACATTGTAAAACCAGCGGGGGACAGATCACGATAAAGGCTGTATTAACAAACACAAATGATTTAAGCACAGATTCTGTGCTGTCCCAGGATGAATCCAAAGAAATAGGTGAGGAAAGTCGATGCAACATTTTGGTTTTTCCACGTGAATCTGTCATACCTTTCCACTTTTGAGATAATGGCGATGTTGTGTTATCCTCTGCCACATATTTTCTTGTTCTTTAGAAATTAATATTGTACAAATTCCTGCTGCTGTCTCAAGATCTATCATTACATTTTTACAATAATCTTTATATTTGTTTTATTCTTTTGTGATACAAAATATGCTGCAGATTGTGTTGCTTGATAAAACCCAGCCACAGAGCAGTGAGTTGTGTCATCGCTGACAAACTGACCTGAATTTTCCTCCTAATGACAGATGCTGTGCAGCCAGAGCGCTTATTACTTGAATGAAGTAGCTGTGGATTTATGGTACATCATGACAGCCTGAGCAAAGCGTGTCTCATTCTAACTTCCATTTGCATTTTTACATCTTACCGTTATCTCGTTAAATATAACCAACAATGTTTATATTTAATTAACTGTGGAATCCTAAAATTATCAAGGGGGGAATCTGACAGTCATGCAAAAACATGTTTATTATAACGGTAATATATGGCTTTTCATTTCTCCGACAAACAAACAAACACGCTTCCACTGTGATTCAGGGGCGTCGAGATGAATCACACGTCTCTGCTTCCAGTGAACCATTTCATCAAACAACAACAAAGCAGAGCAGAGCAAAAAGCTGCAGTAAGTCAGTGTGGAAGCCCTTGGCCATGTCTAATTGAGTTGTTTTTCAGCAAAACTAAAGCAGAACATACCTTTTTGCCTGACACCACTGTTTGAAGTGACACTAAAATACTGTACATTGACGTCATATCAAAGCAAGTCAGGTGGAAGAAAAGATGAAGACAAACATACAGAGAAATCAATGAGTGAGAGATTGGAAATGAGGAGAAAAAAAAAAAAAGAACAGTTGTAAGAGCACCGAGGCTGCTGCTGTTGGCTGGGTTATGACTTCTATTTGCAGAGCAGCATAAAAGTGCAATCAGTTTCAAAAAAAAAAAGAAAGTTTTACAGCGAATATATAAAGACTGCCTCCTCTGGCTGACTGGTTGATTTATGAATATCATAAATCATGGCAGGCTGTCAGAGTTCAATGGCTTTTTTCCAATTATTTGACATGCCTGACATGAAACCACGTAGTGTGTATATGTGCTGTTAATGTCTTCAGGGATGATACACAGGACAGGAGCATGATGGTGTGTGACAGGGCTCGTAAGTGCTTTCGCTTATACCGGCACGTGTCCAGATAGACGCCCATCCATGTGTATTAAAATGAGGTGGCTCTGTACAGGTCACTAGTCAAAGGTAAGTGCTAATCTGAAGTAGAAAATGCTTCAGTTTATCATTCAGTCAGCCAGTTAGACACAAAAACAAACAGAAGAAGATTGCCATTTCCTCCCAGTACTGGCTGTTAATTCCAGCTAAACAGCTAAAGCCTGTATCTCTGCTACATCCAATTAGAGGCCGCCTGTATTCCCAGGGGAGGCTTCTAGGTAATTTCAACAGTACAGAGAGTCACGGTAAAGAGGCAGATACATGGCAAGTATGAAATAACTCCTGACTTACTATATAATGACTGTGTGCGTACGTACCTTTGGCCCGATAATGACCAACACATTCAGCGGATTCTCACAATGCCACTCTGAAAGACACAAAATAAAACTGGCAGTGGAAACAAAAACACAAGGGTTTGGGGGAAAAAATGAATAGTGGCAGCTTTTTTTCAGAAGCAGTAAAGCTGTTTTTACAGCTATACTCACTTAGTGCATCATTGCGTTTGTATTTTTAAGCCTGTGAAGAGTACAATTCAATTCCAAGAAATGCTCTATGAAAATTCACACACCTGATTCTTCTATCTGGATGAAACATTAATATAGAATTTGACGCCCTCTAGCGCTGTCTTATTACCATAACTGTGTGTTATGAAAGTCACATCAAATAAAAGATGATTGAATAAAGCGCCCACTGATGCTGTTAATCAGTGGTAATTCTCACAGATGATTACGTCAGATTGGATATAAGATGCAGAAGATAGCCGTCAAAAGAAGAAACACCACTAAGACACAACTCGACAAGATAAAAATGTCTTTGTAGGGCCAACATGAGCTGTCACAAGAATCTCATTGCACTCTCACATAACTATTCAGTTAGCTGAAACTCAACCGCAGAGATATAACTTTCATCATTTCTAATTGATGAGGACGATGCCACTGCCTCCACCACAGACTACTACACAAATACAGTGAGAAAGACTTTGTAATTTGGAGGTTAACCGGACCCTAAGGTTTAGTAGGGTGAAAGCATGCCAGCTACAAACACCCTCCCCTCTTTTAGGTGGCCTACTTACTATATTACTTGCTGTGTTTCTATGTTTTTCATTACCAGTATATATATATACGAAAAAATAGTAAAGATAAGGAATTGTATGGTATACCTGAAAATACCTCCACCAGATAGAGGGGGTCCTTGACTCTTCTGAGGCCACAGACCAACAGGAAGACGCGCAGCTCATCCACATGCTGGCTGCTTACACCTGGAGAGAAGCCAGACACAAAGAAAGACAGCGCCACAATATCAAAACACTGCATAATGAACATCCCAAGTACATCGGCAGATAATGAAAGCAATACATCACCCAAGGTCATGGGGAAAATAAGACAGCAATGACTAATGTGCTTGCACAATTCTCTGATCAGAGTTGTAACGCTCAAGAGGGAAATAGTCTGAAAATTGCAAGGTTGCAGCCTAATCAGTGTGTAATACGGCATCATAACTAAAGAGCCGGAGTGTATGCTCAGTGAACGGTCTTAGATTAAAATCAGCTAACCCAGCATCATGCTAACAACATCAAATGTTTTGGAGAACCTCACTTTAATTGAGAGGCAGGGCCACTAAATCGACTCTTCTCCCAGATCATCCAACTTTCAGGATCAATCCGGAGATTAGTCAGAAACTGGCCGGCAGACAACTGCGCTCACTGCCAACCACTACCGTACTGCACCTTTCCTTCTAAAGGCAGAGGATAAAAGAGCCCCGTGCTGTTATGATGGCTGCATACATCACACTGTCAGCCTCAGACTTCTCAACAATAAGCAGATCCTCTAATGAACTTTAAATGGATAATTACTTCACTTCTGTACATCGTCTACAGGTTTATACAGGAGGTGAACCTAATGACATTTACAGCTGCCTAATGGAGAGTGGGTTAAGCAGGGAGACTACCTAGCATTTAAACAGTGCTAACTTCTGACAGCAAAGAAGGGTAACCCCAATGTGAACCTGCACCAAAATGGAGATTAACAGTACTATGAGTCCACAGTCCTGCGAGCAGTTCTGTGAGGCTGTGCTTGGGCACAGTGGAGCTTACAGATAAATGTCTGTACCAAACCTCACTGCAATCCATCAAAGACTCGTTGAGAAATTTCAGTCTGGGGCGAAAGTGGTGGACTCAACGGTCTCAAGGAAGAACAGTACAGATAAAACGTATTACATAGATTTTAACTTTCCCAGTGGAACAAAGCAACAACAGAAGTGGTTTATAAATTTTATGTGACGGGAATATTTAAGATATTATGCCCAGTTCTTTACGCCTGAGACAACAATCTTGGTTTTATGTCATTTTTAAGCGAAGTTGGTGTAAACGCAACAATTAAACATTACGGTCTGATGAATCAATAGAAGAAAAATGACTTTACTTAAACACCAGCAGATGTGCGAGGATTTTCTAACATTAAAGGGTTACAAGAGAAAATAAATTTTATGCTTGACAATAAACCAAAAGGATAAATCATAAATAGTATTGCTCCAAATGGTTATGCTGGCAAAGCAGTGTTGGACCAAACTTGAAGTGAAATGAAAAGCAGCTCAGGGAGGAGGTACATTTTAAGTGTCTGTGACAAACTGAGAAACAATTCAAAACCATTTTGAAAATAATATCACAGACAGACACCAGCACGTGCTTAAAGCACAGTGACAGTCGAGTGAAATCCCCTGCTGCCAGATAAGTCCAGATCAGGAGGCTGAGGCAGCTCTTTTAATGCTATTAAAGAGCATCTTAAAATGACAGCATGGAGTCTGGCCACTGACCCTGATCCTAGGAGCCGATTGTCAAAAAAGCTCTACATCCACAGGACATATTGCACTTCCTCGCATTGACTCGCAAGATGAGAGAGGACGCAAGCTAAGGTAAACACCCATGTCACTACCTCAGAACAGGATGCGGCAAAATAATGGATCATCCCTGGAATCATACCAGAGCACAGACCTGTCAAAATGAACAAGAAATTCAAAGAAATAAACAAAGCCTTTGGACCTGAGACACAATTCATCTTTCCTCAGGGGAGAAAAACGAATTGTGCAAATCATCTGTTGTGCCAGCAGCAGTCTTTTCTGTCTCTTCGCAGTTCTGTGAGTTCTGTGCAAAACACACTTTTGTTCGTTTGCCTTTGATTTCAGAAGGGCATTTGGAACAATCCCCTAATGCTTTAATCAGTATGTGTGTAAGCGTGTGTTCATGGATGTGGGGGCACATATATATCTGAACAGCCCCTTTTAATCTGTCGAGTGGCACAGGGTGACAACCAGAGTAGACTCTGCAGGGTGTAGACAAAATAATGACAACCCCATGGAAACAAAGAACTTTACTAAGAAAATCATATATACTAACTAAACTACACTACACAGGTGAGACATATCAAGCCAGTTAGCATTATGGGTACCACTTTACAAGAAGACTACCCTTATAAAGGATTTATAAATGGTTTATAATTAGGTTATTAATTCGGTTGTCAGCACTTTATAAATCATAAATAAACAATTATTAACAAGTTATAAGACAGTTTACATTGATGCAGGCTCACTATTTGGCAAGATCAAGTTAATGCTTACTCATTATTTTTTACTAATGAGTTATTACCATTTATACCTGGTAAAAAGGAGCCTTATTGTAAAGTGTGAAAGACATCATCACTTCTTAAAGAGTAACCAGTATTTATAGCTGCTAAAAGGGAGTCGTATAATAACTCTTAAGTCTTATTGTGAAGTGATACCCATTATGTATCAATTAAATTTTAAAGAGGTGTGATACTGGTTGATACTACTGCAAAAATGCTTTTGCATACCGCATAAGTCAGACACAGTTAGTTTTCTTTTCTCCACTACAGACAAACACAAACAGTACATACAAGCAGATGAGAGCATCTACTTGTATGAAGCTACCAGTGAGGAAATGCACCAACATTAGTCAGACGGTTCAGGCTGGGAAGCTGCATTTCTATTCAGAACACACACCGAGCTGGACAAAACAGAAATGCTAGCATTTGTGCTGCAGTTTCACTGTTCCCTGTTCATTTCGTTGAACGCCGCTGCCATCACAACTGAAAAAGTACTGATGCGAGTTAAAACATGGGGCATGACACGTTCTTTCTTTAAATAGCAGAGAAAAATAACCAGCTCACAAGAGCAGAGTGCGAGTAATTGTGTCTGCGTGCGACTTTACACTTTGGGATGAGCAGAAGCTATAACAGTGATCTACTTTTAATATCCACACATTTTCCTTTTTTTCCATTTTTCCTTTTCGATATGGAAACAAAACACTCATCGTGGTCGTATAATGACCCAGGAGCATGAGGCCATTTTCAAGCATGACCAGAAACACTGTTCCCTGATCATGACAAGATGATAATGGGTATTTCTCTTAACACCCCTTCGCCCATCCTTTGCTTTTTAATTATCTATTCATAGACCTATTTCACTGAAAGCTTCATGTGCAATTTATTCAGTATCAATCATCAGTACCAATAACTGGACAAGGTGACAACAGACCCCCTGCTTATTTCCTCCTCACCTCTCAGTGATTCAAAGCATCACTGCTTACTCCTCAGGGCTGTTCTTGTCATGTATCCCCTTAACCCCACCTCACATGGCGCACAGCAGGGACCACAAACAGCATACACCAAGTGGCTTTCATGGACTGACAGCTTCTGGATCCCAGTGCTGAAGTCGGTGCCTTTGGAGGGTATATGACACCCAAAGGATAATTAGAGACACACATACAGTATAGTCTGTATCTTCAAACAGGTAGGAGGGGTTGCTTTGCCTCTTTTATGTTCACAGGTGGGTGTCTGAGCTACACAGAATACATTTATTCCTGACGCTCAAACTGCTGCACGCCTTTGTTACGCTAGCCTATATAGGATATACTCTAGATTTCGCTATTTAGTAATGATTAATTGATGTCACACCAGATGGGGGGATGAAAAAGTGCATCAATATGCAACCAAGATCTGGGAGGAGAGAACACACACATAGGATAGTGCCCCCTGCTGTGCTGGGAGTGTGTGTGGAAGCAAAAGGAGGAGGAGAGCTGACAGGAGAGAATAAAGGTTGCTGGAGGAGTCACTTCTATCAGACTGCACTGGTGTGCTTAAGGAAAACTAAAACATAAGTGAAATTGTTGAGACTGATTCCTGAAGGTGACAAAGCAGGTGATCAGGCTTTAAAAGTAGGACAGGGAACATCTACTCTTTTAGACAGCAGAAAGCCAAGACCGCCTAATGACAACTAAACAACAACTAAAGTCGTTATGCTCACAAAAGCACTTTCTAACAGTTAAACACAGACTGCAGGATCAGTTATCATTTCCTTTGATTTAACTGTCAGCTCTCTAACTTAAGGTCACATTCACTGGTTCCTATTACACACAAACTCAAATGAAAATCCAGAGAAGGTGTTGTCTAATACACTGTGGTGATAACACTGTGGCAAGAAAAATACAAAACGAATGGACCCTTTTTCGTAATGCATCTAACCTGCATCTACGGTAAATGACTCAGACAAATGATCACCTCAGACAGCACATGAGCAGAAGGTGTAACAATCTTTACACGTCTAAAAAACAGCTATGAGTCAGATTACAGTGCTTTCGTCACATGTGGGGATAAGCACAATAGTAGTGACTCCTATTTCAAGTGTAACAAATGGAGAAGTGACTGTGGGCGATTAGTATTACTCGCACTGGTTCTAAAGCATGGTGACTAATAGCCCAGGACTGTTGGGTTATTAATCAAATGTAGTCAGCTGTGCTCTCTATGAGCACTAATGCACCTGAGACGGACATCATCTTGCAATGTCCAATTTAAAGTCCAGACAGTTTGTGGAGAGGATGCTTGGAGTAACTGTGCATATTTACTGAGCTATTCAAATGGGAGTTGAAGGCTGCAGGAGGGGGGGGGG